AAACTTTTAGTCAACTTTCACCCTATCTCCTTTTATTCGTGATTAACAAAAATACTGTATTAATGAATGTAATACGTTGGTAATGCATAAAAAATACAGTGACTGAGTTTTAATTAAGCAATTCACAATACTATTATTATCAACCAATTAAAATTAAGTAGAATCAGCATTTTGCTAAAAAGGTCAGAAAAAAACAACTTTTATATTCTAGATAATTACAAAAGAACTTTAACCAAACTTTTGCCTTTGCAACAGCAAATATGAGGTGTAAAAGTCATTTTTCTATAACCTTTATATCAAAATGTGTAAATCCCTCCAGTATGCACTATAAATTTTGAAAGACAACAAAATATTTCTGTAATCAGCTTTATTATTATTACTAGTGAACCTGTGGGCTTATAGCCCACATTTACAGGGCTGCTATAATTCCAATTTAATGCTTGAACTACTATTTTGTACTTTTCAGTTTGATGATCATTGCTGCTATAATAATGCGAGTTTAATTTATTTAACCAAGTTATGAAAGGTAAGTAGCAGGCCTACTTACTTATGTGCTCTAATGCAAAGTAGTGTCAAATTTGGGGTTTGCTTTCAGAGAATCCCCATAAAAGTGTTTTTATGAAATACCCTAAGAGTTTGAGTGAAATGTTTTGCCTTTGTGCAAACCTTGAGGCTAAGACAATTTGTTTGCATCATTTAGAAGTTGGTAAGTCCAACAGTTTAGATGAAGGGGTGTTTGGGAAATCCTTGGATTCCCCAAGGGGTGGGGTGAAAAATTTAGCACTTGTGCAAATCTTAGGACTGAGATGATTGGTTTGGTACCACTTAGAAGTTGTGCAACCAGTAATTTAGGTGTTATGTGACACACATACACTTAATCTTGTTATATAGATTGAGAAGAAACAAAAACTACCAAGATTGTTTTTTTAAAGACATATATATATATATATATCCATAAACACCAATAATTTATTCTGGAGCACAGAATAAACACAGGCAATCACCGTTCAATAAAGATCCCTCCAAGAAGAATAGATTCGGCAAAGCGACAAGAGATATGGAAAAGGTCATGGATGGCCTAATCAAGGAAGGGATAGTCGAGAAATCAGATAGTCCCTGGTCAGTTCCTGTTGTGTTGGTCCAGAAGAAGGATGGGACCCAATGTTGCTGTGTGGACTTCAGAGCTCTTAATAATATAACCGAAAAAGACTCATACCCACTGCCAAGAATTGATGATACTCTTGATGTCCTGGAGCCAGGTGGTTTTCAACTCTGGACTTAAAGTCAGGTTTCCATCAAGTGAAAATAGCTGAAGCAGATAGACCTAAAACAGCATTTAGTTATGGCTAAGGTCTCTGGCAATACCGAGTGATGCCATTCGGGCTTAGTAATGCTCCAGCAACATTTGAGAGGCTGATGGAAAGAGTATTGGGAGGCCTACAATGGAGGATAGCCCTAGTGTACCTGGATGATGTCATTGTATTTGCAACAACTTTTGATGAGGAAATGTCCCGTCTAGAGGAAGTATTCGAGCGTTCGAAAGCAGCAAACCTCAAACTCCATCCCAAGAAATGCCACTTGTTCCAGAAAGAGGTGCTTTACTTAGGTCACATTGTAAGTGAGCATGGTGTGCAAACTGATCCTGATAAGGTGAAAGCAGTGCATGATTGGCCAACACCAGACAATGTGGGAGAGTTAAGAAGTTTCTTGTGACTCTGTACCTATTACTGGAAGTTTGTGAAGGACTTTGCAACTATAGCTGCTCCACTACATGATTTGACTAAAAAAGGCCAGAAGTTTGAATGGACAGTTTCTTGCCAGCATTCTTTCAAGATATTGAAAGAAAAATTGGCCTCTGCTCCACTTTTAAAGCTTCCAGATCCCTCACTGCCGTACATACTGGACTGTGATGCTAGTAATGTCGGAATTGGAGGAGTGTTGTCTCAGAAAGTGGGCGAAAATGAACATGTGGTGGCCTACTTCAGTGGAGTGTTGTCTCAGAAAGTGGGCGAAAACGAACATGTGGTGGCCTACTTCAGTAGGGTTTTGAGTAGACCAGAGAGGAAACTACTGTGTAACATGGAGGGAACTTTTTGCTATAGTAAACAGTCTGACATATTTCCATCCTTACCTCTATGATGCAAGGTTTACTATCAGGACAGACCATGCTGCGTTAAGCTGGTTAAGATCATTAAATAACCAAGAGGGACAACTGGCACGTTGGATTGGAAAGGTAGACCAGGATAATTATGATAATGAATACAGAGAAGGAAAATCTCATGGAAATGCCGATGGACTGAGCCGAAGACCCTGCAAAAATTTCTGCAGACATTGCTGCAAAAGAGAGGTTGAACTAACCAGGTACCATCAAATTGAAGTAAAAGTGACTGAAGGAGTTGATGATAGTGAAGTGGAACCAAGTATAGATATTAAAGCAGAACAGGAGGAAGACCAAGATTTGAAGCTAATAATTGATTTTCTAAAAGCAAGTGTTTTGCGCCCTGCTTGGGAGAAGGTGTCTAGCTTAAGCCCTGGAACAAAGAACTATTGGGCACAATGGGACCAGTTGAAGCAAACGGTTATACCGAGAAAGTTACGGGAAGTTGTGCTGCGTCAATCACATGATATTTTAACAGGAGGACATCTTGGAATTAAGAAGACATTGAGTCACCTACGACAAAGATTTTACTGGATAGGTATGAGACAAGATGTGGAAGAATGGTGCAGAACATGCAGTACATGTTGTGCTAAAAGGGGACCCAAGCATAAGAGACGTGCTACAATGAAGTTATATCAAGTTGGCGCACCAATGGAAAGAGTAGCCGTCGACATTGCTGGTCCTCTGCCCCAAACTCGTGCTGGAAACAAGTACATTTGTGTGGTGATGGATTATTACACCAAGTGCCCTGAGGCATGTGCAATACCAAAACAGAAAGCTACAAC